GAAAGGCGAATTTATTTCAACCAAAGTCACTGTTAGTGATATGGTGGTCTCTAACCCACTTAATTTACAAGTCATCATACTTGCTCTTTCGGAATAAAAGTGGCATAGTTTTTGGTGTCACCTTTTGATCTCCAGTTATCTCTGCATCTGTTTTCCTTTTATCAGTGAATATCTAATGATGCAGTGATATCAACTCCTCATTTTAGCTGTGGAGGGCATCCGTAAGAAGGATATTCAGGAAATTAAGGCCATGCGAAATCCTCCTCCTGCAGTCAAAATGGCTCTTGAGGCCATCTGCCTTCTGTTGGGCGAAAAGTCAACAGACTGGCGTCAAATCCTAACCATTATTGTAAAGGATTCTTTCGTCCCAAGTATCCTCAACTTCGACACTGAGGAAATCACGTCTGTGTTTCCGAATACCATGCATTTTAATTTGTCACATTTGTTTACAAATGTTTAAATGTAACCATGCAAAGCGTTGCGCTATTCCACAATATTTATGTTAGTCTACCTAATTGCTCTTGATGCATTGAGCAGTCATCTTGGCTTCCCAAGCCTGCTTCATTTGATCAGGGTGTGTCACGCCCCTTTCGGTTTTCAGTGATTCAATCCGCGAGACAATGAAAAAGAAGTATATTGAAAACCCTGAATTCAATTATGAAAAGGTGAACAGGGCCAGTACAGCTTGTGGACCAATGGTCAAATGGGCTATTGCACAGGTTTGCTCATCTATTATATCGTAACTTAAAGCTACAATCACTACTTCTAGTGAAACGATGTTATCTGACTTAAATTGTATTTGCACTTAATAGTTTTATGCTGTAAGGTTTTTGGTGGGTCTCAGTAGGACTTCTCACGTTTTATTGCTTTTTTAATCCCTTTTGAAATGCCAATAATTATAGATTGATTTATGCACAGCTATTCTGGGAATCATAAACTTGTGTATTTTAATATGAATTCTAGATTGGATATGCAGATATTCTGAAGAAGGTGGAACCTCTACGAGACGAGTTAAAGGCTCTTGAGGACGCGGCTAGTGCAAACGAAAAGAAAGCTGAGGATGTGGAAGCAACGATAGGCGCTCTCGAAAAGTCGATTGCCAAATACAAAGACGAATATGCCGTCCTAATTAGCCAGGCCCAGTCAATCAAGGCGGACTTGGCCTCAGTTGAAGCCAAGGTTTGTCATCTTTTCCCTTGAGTTCCAGTTATTTGGGACTCCACTTTTTGGATGTACGTATCCCACTTATGAATGTAAATTGTCCAACGTATCAAAATGCAAGTGGCTAAGTCTATCGTCCCAAGGATTTCATGTTCTTTATCCTTGTGTGTGATTTTTAACTTTCTGCTCTGGTCTAATCGTCGTTTTTCTCAGGTTGAGCGCTCAGTGGCTTTGATCAAGTCATTGAGCAGCGAACGTACACGGTGGGAGGCGGGCTCAGAGACATTTAAGTCTCAAATGGCTACAATCATTGGCGATTGCCTTCTTTCCTCGGCCTTCATGGCTTACGCTGGTTATTTCGACCAGAGTCTGCGTCTTAGTCTTGTCTCATCGTGGGCTGTTCATCTGAATGCTGCCGGTATCCAGTTTAGACCTGATCTGGCTCGTGTTGAAGTAGGCTACAGTTGTTTTCCTTTTGTGTTGTTATTTTTTTCCTGAATAAGGGCGTTTTATCCAGATACTTACTTAGCTTGATATTATATTGCCAAAAGTTGTGGGGCTTGGCTTTGATAACATTACCAGTGCACGGCATTCAAGTGCATTGTGTTCAACAGCACATTTGTAGTTGATTCAGGAAGACTTTACTTTTTATTTCAAAAGTAAAGGATTCTTAACGAGTATTCTACTCTCGTTTCCTATTTCAAATCGTTATGGATTTGTGTTTCAGTATCTATCGACTCCCGATGAGCGACTGCGTTGGCAAGCCAGTGTTCTGCCTGATGATGAGCTCAGTGTTGAAAACGCCATTATCCTTCGCCGATTCAATCGATATCCCCTTATAATCGATCCAAGTGGTCAGGCGATCGAGTTCCTTATGGAAGAGTACAAATCAAAGAAAATTGCCAAAACCTCTTTCCTTGATGACGCTTTTAGAAAGACCCTTGAATCTTCGCTGCGGTTTGGAACACCGCTTCTGGTACAAGATGTTGAATCATACGACCCAATTCTCAATCC